CGTTTTTCTTGGTATCTTATTATGAAAATTTTGTTTCAACGTGCCAAGAGGTCATTGAATGCCTAGATGGGGGCTTCGGTTTATGTAATTCTGAATTGGGTTTATAATATTGTGTATAATTTTCGTATGACAGCGGTCTAAAATTTTACAAGCGAGCAACTCATTATCAAATACTTGTACTTAAATTTGTCATACTTTTCTAAATTTAATAATTTATACGAAGTATGTACTTGGTAAAATTTATATACAAGACTAAATAACAATTATATATAAGAATTATAAATCAAAAAACCTATGTAGTAGTAGTATAATTTTATTATGGGGGAATGAAGTCAACTGCATTCGTGGCATCGTCCAGAAGATGTTGATCTGTTTGCCGTCAGTGTAAAGGTTAAGGAGCCGAATGCAACTGTATATGTTAATAAGCCTCAAATTGATTCAGTAAGATAAGAGACAATATTATTATTGTATAATACAGATTCATCATATACAAAGTACTAATTGTGAATAAACAAATGAACAATGATACAATAAACAAAGATGAGAGTTATACGAGTAAAACAATCAAAATTAATATAATAGTGTGACGTGAATATCCGACCCTGATTCTACCGTGATGTGAATATCCGACTGTGGATCCAAAAACCATTATTTAATTATTTTTGAGATGCCTTTTGCTCTTTCTCTAAGGGCATCTCAATTAAAATAGAATTAAAGACGATAAAACTTGTTTACACGTAAATGATTCGATTAGATGATGACCGCATCCCTTATTTAATTAGCACCTCCCTCAAACATAAACTATGTAGACAAGTGTCCTGGAATCAGCTGATGTAATGTTCATCAAATTTTAAATTTCAAAGGTCAATTGATTGGATTTGTATACGAATTTATAATTCTACATATGATACGTTTATAAGAAATTTTAGTTGCTAATTACCATTTCAACTAAACCAATTTGTAGCTACTCGTTGATTATTACAAGGTACTTTGAATTTTGGGCTTACCTCAAACCCCATTTATCCAAGTCGCCGCGAGAATTCAACCTCTTCAGGTCGATCTCCCACTTGGAATTTTAAAGGGAACTACTTCACTAACACCTCTGCTCAGATTAATTGCACGAGTTGCACCCCATTAGCTTATATTATTTGACGAAATCTCAAATCTTCTTCATTTATATTTGCCCAAAAAAATTGTTTATATGCATGCCTGTTGTAGTGTGATTAACCTTCCCAAATAACACATGTAATGCCATACGTTAATAAAAGAAGAGAGAGTGCTAAACAATTCATATAAATCTAATTACTCTTTTTATTGCCATAGTGGACTTTTTCTTGGTGATGAGTGCGACCCAAACCCATATTTAACAATGCCAAACTTGTAGTTCAACTTGAATTTTTTTCTTTTCTTTTTGCTAAATTTTACTTAATTTTGTTAGAGCTTATTAGCATCTTAACTTAACTATATAATAAGTTGAGGTAAGCATATTCCAAATTGACTTTGTCATTTGTCTATGATTCTTCTCAAAAGGGTATTTTTAAGTATTTTATATTATTTTTTAATGCCTTAGACAATATTATTGATATGATACAAATAAAAGTGTATATGCATAATCTTTGCAATACTCTTGAAAGGGATTTTTTTTCTCTATTTTGCATCGGCTCCTTCAAACATGTTATATAAGATATAGATAGGTATCACGAAGTAGTGTAATACTCATCGATTGATAATCGATCCTTTCAAAGTTCGTAAGTATGCATGGACTGTAATTGTGCCCCTAGCACTTGGCCGACTTGTCATATATTTATTAAATACATATATAGTGTATATGAACTTAGTAAATCATTAGATTGCACAATATATATAATAAATATGACGTAGAAGATAGAAAATGACAATCTACTAAAAGAATAAAAAGGAAATTGACAAGAAGTACTTGACAAAATTTTCAATAATCTTTTAGGTGTAAATAAATAAGATTAGAGGATTAGATAATAGAGATGATTGGTGGTTAGAAAGAGTTGTGGACTGAAAATGTTTGAGCAAATTTATGTATAATATGAGTTAACTACTCAAAATAGTGTGATAAGGAAACATGTAATATTGTATATGTGCTTGTCACCTTTGAAGGTTGCCATGAGCCATTATGAAGAATTTGTCATATCAATCGCTTATGTCTTATCCTATCATCATACCTTAGCTATGTGTGAACAGTTCGTCATATAGGTCTCCACTAGAATAACCTTAATCAATTTATTCATTATTATTTCATTTTTTGTATCTTCATCATATGTTGAGAAGCGGAAATTCAAGTATGACTAGTCTAAATATTTACTACAATTATCTCAACATCGAACTTTATGCTATGAAAACTATTCTCGGTGTGCGCTTGCATGTTTTTAAATTGTGGTAATGATAGCTTATCTAAAAATACTACGTACAGACTAATTATTGGTATTTTTATTTCATTTTTATCAAAATTTTGTCATTCTATCCTTTGGGTATTTTACAACAATCTTAAAAGCATTATCCAAGCTTTAATCAGTTATAACATGAAAATGAATACAATTTTATCAATTCTATTTGTGAAAAATTGAGAATTGAACAAGGGGAAAAAAAAAAACCAATCTTTTTGAGAATGCAACATATTACATGTTGATCTTATAATTATCACAAAGTATTTAGTGAGTCTTGTTTCATCATGAGTTCATCCAAAAATACATATAAATATGTCCAATAATAACTTATACAAAATGTCCAAACGTTTACATCTAAATTTTATATGCCGATCAATAAAATGTCGAAAAAACTTATATGAAATGTTCAACAACTTTTTACGAAGCATCTTGTTCAATAAAATTTTTTGTATAATAATTGGTCCTTTGATGATACGGTGAGTCTATTTAATAGAATTGTGGATCTGACATTTTAAATAACCCTAGTGAGGTCGTTGCCCCAAAACTTATGAAAAAATTGGCAGATATATATTTCACAAAGGTTACTGCTTCTACAGAATCAACCTTTTCTTTATCTCCTCCCCAGTCAGCTTTGTGGAAGTCTCAGCAATGAAAACACACCTCGGCTTGGCTTCGGATGGTCCCTATTTATAGGCTGGGTCAGACGATACTGATTCAAGCTAAAGCTTGCCTCCGCTATGGGCCACTGACGCTAAGACTTATAGCTGTGTGTTGTGTTATCGATTGGGTGTTCCTTTGTCCTCTATTTCAACGCCGTACTCTGCTTGCTCTAGGGCATTTGTTGGGGATATTTTTGGGGATCATGTGGTGTCATGTGTTGGTATGGTGGGTATTAAATATCGTCATAATGTTGTTCGGGATACCCTTCTTGATGTATGCTATCAGTCTGGGATTTTAGCAAGAAAGGAGGTTGACATTGTTTGTCGGGGGGAACGATGGGGCGCTCTGAGCTGCAGATGTGTTGCTTTACTCTTGGAAACGAGGTCGCAATGTGTGTGTTGACTTGCCTGGGTCTTCTCCTTTGACTCAGTCTGGGGTTGTTTGACTTTGTACGAGTTGTGACTGATGCGACTCATTATAAGCGGGTCAAGTATGAAGCTAGTTGTTAGGCGATTGGGTACGATTCCCTTCCTTTCTCTTTCTCTTCTCTTGGGGAATTAGAGAAGGAGGTTGTTGCGTTGCTGGACCGGGTCCAAAAGTTCTCAAAGACAAGATATTGGGGTACGTGTTGCTTCCGGATTTGCTATAGCTAGAGGAGTGGGATCCCATATTGTATCTCGGCTTTCCACTAATTTTTTGTAGGTTGTATGACTTTGTTAGCTTTTGATTAATAATAATAATAATAATAATAATAATAATAATAATAATAATAACGAGCGTCCCAGAGCGTTAAATAACTAATTAATATATTACTTAAAATAGTATTAAGTTAGAATTGCACACGTCGATAAGTGTAATTATTGATAATTTTAGTTTTTTTTTTCATTTTTAATTCTCTTACCTAATGTCTTAGGGACGCTTATTAGTCTAATAATAATTGTACTAGTATAACATACAACATACCGTAAAGCGTTGACGTAGCATAGTGATGATCCAAGGCCCACAAGCTACAACACTATTATTGTCCATCTGAGTTTTGAGGCTTGTACTCTTGCAGTAGTAATTCAGAGTCGGCTGAAAAAGCAGTTGGTCCAAATACATAATTTGTAATGAAAGGCCACGGGATCAAACATTCTAGAAATATGGCCTCGTTTATATACTAAGGCCCAAATTAAACATGGAAAGTAGGTTGGGCTAACATTACCCCGACATTACAAAAGCCAATTTTAGAGAGATCTCTTCTTGTGGATCGTGCACTCCTGCCAATTCTGCATTCAAACTATCCATGGCGTGACACGAACCATACTAATTAGTAATTACCGTTTTAATTAGATGTTATCTGATACACTCCATATTATATAAACAAAGAAAGTATACCATGGCTTATATATATGGGGCTACCAAAGAAAGTAGGCTATCTTGGAATGGTCCGCCCAACTTAGCAGCAATGGCCAATGGCAATGGGTCATGTTCGCCTAGAGCTATTGCCTATTGGTCGCTAATTTGGAACAATTTAGTCGTCAACTAAATCTTATATTAGTCATTATGTTATCTTTAACGAACTTATTACCCGATATCTCATCTTATCTTATTTTATCTTACTAGTATTAGTATGAACTTATTGGATATGGTATAAGTGAAAATAAGGTGAAAAAATAATAGAGTTAGTGCTGGATATGAAATAATTTATAAAACAATGTTAGTAGGTTTTTTCTGATCTAATTTCAAATAGAATAAATGATCCCTGTATGTATGAGATGTGTACATCGACAATTGGATATTGACATTGATACGAAACAGTAATAAAGTTAATATACTCCGTATGAAAGGCTTTTCATTGAATACATAGAAAATTTGTGTGCACGATTGTTTTGATTGTGCAGTTTTGTAAATGTAAAGAAGCATATATCAAACAATGATTAATTAAGGTCTCAACAATATCAGCGGGCCGGGGCTTCTATTAGTGAAGAATGATGGGCCAATCAACTTACATAGCGATCGACACATAATGCTTAATTATTACTTTTATTAGGAGTACATAAATTCATTGAGAGCTATTTTACCTCAATGTACGTAATACAAAAGCAATAACTTGAGAAAGAAATTTAATTTTACTACTTTTGATGGAGTAAAATTGACATGAATACATTCATTTGCTACTAAACAAGCACAAGATCTTACTGATCAATATGCATGGATAGTACGTAAATAGGATTACCAAACATTAACAGGAATAACAGGAAAAATCAAAGTTAAAACGTTCCTAAAACAAAACCCACAATGCAAGATAAATACATTAAAATCGAAAAAACATTATTATGTTGTCGATCAATAATCAGTTCAATGTATGATTCCTGACGTACGCGAGTTAGAGGATCAATTAGGCACATTGGAAGTCAGTGGGAGTTTTCTTGCCACAAACATTGATAAGAAGGTTAAGAGTAATGGGAATATTAAGATTAATCCCAAGAATATTAGCCTTAATGGCAGTGCAAAGGCATATGGCAGCTTCTAAATCAAGAAGGCCAGCAATGACACTGCAGCAAGGGTGGGTTGGCGGGGTCCCAATCACGGCGCTGACGGGGCCGTTCAACACATTGGCGCATATGCCAAGTTTTAAGGCATCCCTTGGGCAGTGACCACCTCGCGAGCTACCACCACCAGATCCAATCCCAGGGTTGTTTGGATTTGGGACATTTGGAGTGTTAGGCTGCCCACAAAGGTAACAACTCTGAACTAGGTTACATGAAAGAAGGTTTAGTGAAAGGAAGAGAATGGCAATAGTGGAACTCTTGCACTTCATCGTGTTTTTTTTATGTTAAGTCTACATTTTTGGCTAATTCGCGAATTCAGTGTCTGGATAAGGATTAGAGGTTGGTATTTATAGACAGGAATAGAAGAATAGGATTATTTATCGTATAAATATAATTTATGCTACGTATTTATTTAAAAATAATTGCACCATTTGATATTTTGGTATGATTGTATGAATGAATTGGTTGTGGTGCTGCTTTGGTGTAAGTTGCGAATGTAAACAAATGATGTATGTTATGTTAAGCTGGTTCGAGATTTGTCTTTTGCGAATATAGTAATAGGATGGATTCATTAAAGTAGGCTCCAACATCTATGTTAAGTTGGCCCGTGAAGAATAACCAAATACAGGAGTTGTCATTGGTGGATGTCGATCCAAGTGCAAAAACCAGCTTATTCTGCCCACTGATTGGCTCTTACAAAATCATCCTTAGCTCGGATGTTTTGCTTTAAAATTCATATCACAGATTGATCTATTGACATTCACAAAATATAGGGAGAATTAATAAATAAGTAAAAGTATATGGGCTGTGAGGGTTCTAACACTCACTCTTATACTTAACTTAGTCTTTTTTGTACAGCATCGTTTAAGATCACAGCACACTATATACTTGTTTCAAGAAGATAACAAGCTTATTGAGTACGAATTTCAATCATATGACCATAAGATTTTGAAGAGGTGATTTCAAACAAGTGTAGATAAGTCTAGTGAAAATGAATCCTATAGTTATTACCGTTGAGAACCCAAGTATAGAGATCAGCTACGATCAACAGTACCGAGTAGCTAATGATTTTATCTCAATTCTAAAGTTCACAATTAATTTTTTTTTATTTTTTTTTTATTTTTTTTTGAACTAATCTTAAGTTCACCCACCCTATAGCGTAATTGGCTGTGATGGATTTTATTTATCTAGGCAAGTAAATGATGTTTCTTAATTATATAATTCAGGGTAATTTATATCAAGTTAAACTAAATAATTAAAGCAATAGCCAAGATATGTGGTCATTATCGCTCATAGTTTTTTCCAAGCTATATGATTGAGGAAATTAAGACCAAAAAGTACCTTTTTGCATAATCGGCTTGATAGTTGGTGTTGAATTGACCACCTTATATTTTGATGATTGACCTACATAAACAAACTTTGACTAACGACGTTTATGAGTCTTGGTTAAAACAGAAGATTCAGGTTTGAAGTTAAATGTTTTGGAGTAGGAACAACAGAGTTTGGAAGAGTTGATGATGAATGCAAGCTTTTAAGATGTCCTCACAACTCTATATTTTTAGTTACTCAGTGTACGAACTTAAGAAACAAAAGTGTTGGAAGGAATTAAGAAGAAACTCGAAGTTCCTGAAGGAACCTGAAGTTCCTGAAGGAACTTGACGAATGACTCAGAAAGTTTTAAACGAAAGTTTTAAAACGGTTTTCAAAAACCCTTAATTTAAGGAAGTGATAAAAATCAGTTTTGAAAAAGATTTAAAAAGATTTTATAAATAAATAAATAATTCATTAATTTAAAAAGATAAGTTTTAAATTAATTAATTATTTATGTTTTAATTAATAAATAAATAATTATCTTTTTTTAATAAATAATTATTATCTTTTGAATAAGTCTTTAACTGATTTTTAACTTGGTAAATATTGGCTGCTTAAATTAAGGAGCACGTTGAATTTAGGAGTCAAGCTAGGGAAATCATGTTCCTAAATTTCCTCTGCCTACATCCCAACTTCTCAGTCAAAGAGAACGTGGGATTAAGGCGGAAGTGGGAACTTGATGGAAGCTTGGTTTAATACCTTATAAAAACATATCAACGTTAAGTTTTGAAAGCGTGGAAAAACAATCTTAAGTATTCTGAGCATAGAGTTTCAAAGTGTTTAAAAGAGAAGTTCCTTCCATCCTTAGTCTTTTAAGTTCTTTAGGAAATACTTGTAATCATTGTGTAATTGGGTTTGAGTTGTGAGAGTTGTAAAGTGTGACACTTGAGAGAGTTGTTTACACTGTACAAGTGATTCGGAGTAGTTGAGAAACTGTGATTGAGGGATCACAGTTGGGTAACTTGAGTTCCTCACGGAACTTGAGTCTAGGCAACGTATTAGTGATTGTAAATCATTTTTACAGAGTGAATTTATTCATTGCCTATATCAGTGTCTTTTCTCTTAGTAGTAGATTTAATTCCGCAAAATTTACCATAGTCTACATACACTACAATTCACCCCCCTCTTGTAGTATACATTTTTCTATCAGTTGGTATCAGAGCAAGGAACTCGGAAAAGCAGGAAGCCCTGTCGAGTCAAGTTCCTGGAGGAACAATGTCTAAGGACGAGAGACTAGCTGAAGGTTATTCTACATAAAGACCTCAACTCTTCAATGGGAAGTACTACGCCTATTGGAAAACAAGGATGGAGATGTTCATATAGTCCGAGAATTATCAAGTCTGGCGAGCTATCGAAGTAGGAGATTACGAGGTAACAAAGACCAATGCAGAAAACAAAGTAATTCCTAAACCTATTTCTGAATACGATAAAAGCGACTTTGAAAAGAAGCAGATTAATGCTACTGCTAAAAAACTCCTAGTTTGGGGATTAGGACCAGATGAGCATACCCGAGTCATGGGATGCAAAACTGCTAAAGAAATTTGGGATTTGCTAGAAATAACCCACGAAGGAACTCATGAAGTAAAACGTTCTAAAATAGATATACTGCGTTCAAAATATGAACGTTTTGAAATGGGTTCAAAAGAAACTATTCAAGAAATGTTTACTCGTTTTAAAAATATTACTAATGAATTAGTTTCTCTTGGTAGAGTTATTCCTATGGATAAACAGGTACGCAAAATTCTAAGGAGTCTTCCTGAAGATGAACAGTGGAGATCCAAAGTGGCAGCTTTGCAAGAATCAAAGGACTTTACAACTTTTAACCTTGAACAACTTGCAGGTTCCTTGATAACTCATGAGCTTCACCTATCAAACAAAAGTCAAGAAAGCTCAAAGAGCCGAGGAATTGCTTTAAAAGTTGCCCAACAAAGTGAAGAGGATTCCGAATTTGGAGAGGAAGAAGCTGCTATGCTAGTCAGGAAGCTAAAAAAGTTGTACCACAACAAAAGGTTTAGTGACCAAAAGAAAAGGAACTTCAAGAAGAACCAATATTCCAAGGAAACAGGAGGATGCCACAAATGTGGGAACACAGACCACTTCATCAAGGAATGCCCTCACTGGGAATCAGAAAAAGGAAAAGGCAATATGAAGGAACATGGAAAATCTTATACTCCTAACTTTTCAAAATCTGATTACAGGAAAGCCATGATAGCTGCGTGGGGAGACACAAGTTCCGAGGATGAAGAAGAATCCACGGAAGAAGAGACGGCAAACCTATGTTTGATGGCTAAACACAGTGAGTCTGGTAAAAAGTCAGAGGGGGTAAATCTGGAACCTAAATTTCTGAAATCCTTGTCAAAAGACAAATTAATTTCTTTGCTCATAGAAACATTGGATGAATATAAAGAAATATGTCTTAAACTTGGACAAAATGAAAAAGCTCTAGAAATCTATAAGGATCATATGAAATATTTGAATAGTTCAAGAACAGATGTTCAGGGAAGATTCTTTGATTTGCTAGATAGAAACACTATGCTCAAAGAAACACTGGAAAGAGTCAAAAATGAAAATACTCCCTCCGTCCCGGTTTAGTTGCAACGGTTTGACTGGCGCTGGATTTTATGCAAAGTAATTGACTTGTTTATTATAATGTATGTAAGTTGGTAGTGGGCATTTTTTTATTATAGCTAGTGGAAGTGGGCCATAGCATTTTTTTGTGGGGGGGTGGGGTGTGCTGTTGGAGTGTTGGATACACGTGCCATAACATGTGAATCCAAAAAATTTGATTCCTTTTTAAATTTTTGCCGGCAAACACCATCACCAGAATTCACTTTATAATTTTTCCCTCTTGATTTTTTTGGTGAAATTTCAAATATTTTTGTACACATCCCCTTTTTGAATTTGGAGCTTCCAAATTATGGCCTTTCTATATTGAACCATAATAAATGCTTCTTCTTTATTTCAGCTTCACCTGTAGATTACCAAAAAAAAAAAAAAAATAGCAAATAGAGAGTAAAGAACAAACAGAGAAAAAATATGGGGGCGGGGGGGGGGGGGGTTTGGTGTAGAATTAGAAAAAATGTCGTAAGTTTTCTTCTTCAGTTTTCACTTAAATGCAACTAGTGTAGAGTAATCATGTGCATTTTTAGAGAGAAAAGAGAGCTTACAAATGATGCAAGAACCAGAATTGCTAATTGGTTACTAGTAAAAAATTCCACTGGAAAGTTGAAAAGGGGTACCGTGAAAGAAGCATCAGAGCTTTTTGGAGTGCATCGAACCACAATCTACAGAATTTTAAAGCAAGCAAAAGCTCTATGGAAAAACGGTGATGCAGTCAGCATGGACTCCTAGAAACCCAAAAGGGTTGGCAAGAAAGGTAAACACATTGACTTAAGTAAAATTTCTGAAATTCCATTTCACAAAAGGGGCAACATTAGGGCACTTGCAATAGCATTAGGTGTTTCTAAGAGCACCATTCATAGGTTTATCAAAAGTGGTCAAATCAAGCCACACACAAATGCATTAAAACCAGCACTTACAGAAAATAATATCAAGGAAAGACTAAAATGGTGCCTCAAAGCCATTGATCAAGACAATGGTATGTTCAACGATATGTACAACACAATCCATTTAGACGAGAAATGGTTCTACATGACAAAAGGGACACAACGTTATTACCTACTCCCAGGTGAAACACAGCCTTATAGAACGTGTAAGAGCAAAATATTTGTCACAAAATTCATGTTCCTCTGTGCCGTTTCTAGGCCACGATTTAATGCAGATGGATAATGCATTTTTGATGGGAAAATAGGAATGTTTCCGTTTGTCAGGTGGGTGCCAGCAAAAAGAAGAAGCAGAAATAGGCCAGCAGGTACATTAGAGCTCAAACCAGTTACCTCAGTCACAAAAGAAGCTTATAGGAACATGTTAATCAGACAAGTGATCCCAGCAATCATGCAAAAGTGGCTAGATAACGATCAAGGTCCAATCTATTTGCAACAAGACAATGCAAGACCTCACATAGAAGTACAAGACAGAGACTTCATGGAAGTTGTGCAAAATTCCAACAAAGACTTAAGGT